TCCCGGCCCAGCCCAAGACCTCGCACCCACGGCCCCTCGCGGGGCAGGGGCCTTCTCTCCCCACTGGGCGAGGTTCTCGGCACAGCTGCCACGCCAGGCGGGCTCCTTCGCAGGAGAGGGGACTGTCCGGTGAGCCGCGGGGTGTCGGCAGCACCCTGGGCCCCAGCCTGAGGCAGCTGGTGACGCTCCATGGTGACACAGCCAGGTGCCCCCAGAACGCAGCTCACACCCTCAGGGCCCCCTGAATGGCACCAGCCGCGACCTGTGACACGCGGTGACGGACGTGTGAGTTTGGAAGAGCTTGGGGGTCCGCCTGGCCCGTGTAGGGGTGCGTGGCTGGGGGGCTGAGCTGCTGCTGGGGCGGCTGCCCGGCCTGGCTGCCCACCCCAGGGGGACCCCCCTTCCTTTACCTCTCAAGCTCCTAAATGACCGCCGTGGGTAGCTGACCCACGGCAAGGTCCGGGTGGCAGGCCAGGAAGGGATCGCCCCGCTTTCCACTCTCTGGACTTCTGAACTGAGCACAGGCCCTAAAGCAGCGCAGGGCTCCGGCTGTCCTTGTCAGCAACGCGGCAGGCTTGCGTGAGCCTGAAGCTTCCCCAGAGGCCTCCACCCCCACCCTGACCAAGACGCGGGAACAGCCGTCTGGGGGAGGCGGCGTGGGCTCCCCCGGTCCCTGCCCCTGGGTGCTGGGGCCAGCTGTCCTCTAACTGATGCGGAAGAGTTTAAAAGTCGGTTGCCGAGGCTCCTGCATCTTGGGGGACATTCCTGGTGGCTCTCTGCCAAACCTTGTTGGTGAAAGGCCAAAGAGTGGCTGTCCTGGGCTTTGCGGGCCAGACGGCTTGTAAGAGCCGAGTCTGCCCGGCTCACTGGCAGTGAGCGGACGTGCGTTTGAGCCATAACGCTTTATCGGCAGAGGCAGGTGGTGGGCCAGGTGGCCACGTCTCAAGCCTGAGAGCAGCCTCCTGAGTGAACAGGCCATCGGGAGGGACGTCCGGCCCCCCGCCCCCTGCCCCCCCACAG